AACCAATAGGTCATCCTCACAAATAGAGCACCATCTAAATGTATTTAATATTCATCACCAGTCTTTGCTGATGTCTGTCTACTCACTCTAATACTCACTGTTAAGTCATAACTCATGGGCATGAATTTTTTTTAGATTTCTTTTATGTCTATGAGTGTTTTTCCTAAATGTATATATGTGCACCTCATATGTGCCTGGTACTCCCAAAGGTCAATTTCTTACCATGAACCCCAGTCCTGCTCATCTCCATGTCCCCTAATATCCACCCTTTGCCCTTGCAATCCTCCCCCAAATAAAATACACATATAAACAAACGATAACAACAAGAAAACATCTCATCATGGAAGCTGTAGTATGTCACAGTGTGTCCCACAGTATATCTCTCTGTTCATACATCTTTACTTGCAAATGTTCATTGCAGTGATTCCTTGATCTGGTTCAAGATTTTTGTCTTCTGTGACACCAATATTGGGTCCTCATTGGGACTCCTTCAGGTTATCCTGTTGGTGCTCTCTATCATGGAGATCCTGCAGCTTTAGAATAGCAGGACTGGCCCTTTCACATGTCTCAACCATTCACAGATGATATATATTTGGGGTGGGATAATTCAGAGCCCTGGATCTGAGCCTGGGTGGTGGCTAAGCTGGTCCACCCACCACCTCTCCCTTAACTGCTCCACTAGGGCCAGCTCTCCAGCACTGCTCTGACTAGGTTACCCAGTGTTGTCATCAGCAGGAAGCAGGGTCAACTCTCCTGCTCTCATGCCCTTGGGGCTAGCTCAGCAGCACCCGTGCCTCTAGATCCAGCTCCACTGTGCTGTGTAGTCCAGGTTCAGGGCCCACTCCGCCAAGTGCTGAAGCCTGTGGGGGCTAGGCCAGTTCTCCCGCTCGCACACCCTCATGTCTGTCTCACTGGTGCCTTAGCTGTCAGGGCCAGCTCCACTATATTGCCCAGGCAAGGTGCAAGGGCCGCTCTCCTGAATGTTACAGTGGGCAAGGGACAGCCTCATGAGCATTTTAATTTCTGATTTCTAACATGTCAGTGAAAGTGCATGTGCTATTTTAATACTTAAAAGTCATATAAAAAAATTCTCTGTTCTTATTCTGTGCTTTTCTTTGAACTTAAATACATTCGTTTCCCTTATTGTTAAAGGTCATTGTCTAAGTCAAATGGCTGTTATTTTATTTATTTTTATCTATGTTACTCAAAAGGGTTTTTTCTCTTATTCTTTTCTAAAATTTATTTTATCTTATGTTTACTAATGTTTTGCCTGTGTATGTGTGTGTTACCATGTGTGTGCCTGTTGGATGCCCTTGAACTAGGTTGATGGATAGTTTGTATGCCATCATAATATGGGTGCTGGGAATCAATCCTAGGTCCTTTGCAAGAGCAACAGGAACTCTCAACCACTAAGCTGTAATTTTCTTTAACATTAATTTTTCCCAAACTGTCTTACCATTTGATCAGTTATTGCAAGTAAATAGTTTTATCCTTTCAGTGTGTAGCTTCATATACTTTCTTATCTTTAAAGAAAGGATTATTAAGTCACAGTTTGGATTTGCTCTGTTTCTGTTTCTCATTGCTGATGTTATTTGGGTCACCTAGTATATATATGTTGAATTTTCTTTCTATTTGTCCTGTTCTCCTTAATGCTGTTCCTATTTTTCTCTTTACTGTAAAATGTCCTCCTGGTCCTCTTATGCTGCACTTAGCCTGTGCCACAATTCTAGGTGTCAAAACAAACAAAAATGCTTATCCTGGGTGGCTGTTCTGGTATGCTTTCTTTAGACCAGGCTGGTCTCGAATTCAAAGTAATTTGCTTGCCTCTGCCTTCCAAGTGCTGGGATTAAAGGCATGTACCATCACTGCTGCTCTTGAAAGAAAGCCACTTTAGTGTTCTCTGAAGATAAGTTTTCTGCAGGAACTTGATACTTCTAGAAATGCAAAGTGAACATGCTAAAATATAATTATACTTTAAGAAAAGCACACTTTTGAGCATGGTGGCACATGTCTTTAATCCCAGCACGTGGGAAGCTGAGGGAGATGGATCTCCATGAGTTTGAAGCACAGTTCCATGACAGCCAGGAATATATAAAGAGATCCTTCCTCAAAATAAAGAACAGCACATTTTTATGAACATTTTATGTTGATGGCTTTGTAAATTGAAAGGAAGCATTTTATGAAGATACTTTACAAAATATCATTCTCATTAAAATACTTTAAATGGTCTTAGGTACATGAAGAAGTATAGTGTGTATGTATGAGATTTGTTTTCCTTTTTATGGTTTTATAATGTGTTTAAACTATTCTTAAATTTAGGTTAAATGTGCACAGTACTGGCCAACAGATGACCGAGAGATGGTGTTTAAGGAAACGGGATTCAGTGTGAAACTCTTGTCTGAAGATGTGAAATCATATTACACAGTACATCTACTACAGTTAGAACATATCAATGTAAGGCTTTTCTTGTTTCAAAGTTTCAATTTTATCTGATAGTTGTAAGAATTCTGTATTACTAGGTTTTGGGCTTGGGACTATACTTGCATTTGCATATTTGTAATAGAATCTAGTCACAAACATGTTTTTGGACTGTATTTCTAAATAAGGATTCTGAAGAAATACTAAAAACAAAGAATTACAATGTTCAGCTTACTATTAATATTTGAAAATTGAAAATTAACTACTGGAGCTGGAGAGATGGCTCAGTGTTTAAGAGCACGTGCCATTCTTGCAGAAGGCCCAGGTTCAGTTCCCAGAACCATGTCAAGAGTCTTATCAGTGTTATAACTCCTGCTTTAGGGAATCCATTGCTCTCTTCTTCCTCCCCATCCTATACACGATACACATAGATACATATAGACACTCAAACATACACATAAAGTGTAAAAGAAAAACTTATTGCAAATGCAGGGGGAGATGTGGGTGTGGCTTAGTGGTCAAGCAGTTCCTGAGTATACTCTAGGCCCTAGGTTCAGTTCCAAGAACCAAAAACTAAAATATAAGTGGGTAATGGATATAACTGAGTTATAAGGTACTTTCTTGGCATGCTTGAAGATTTGGGGTTCAGTCCCCATCACCAAGAAAATACAAAACATACTTGGAAATAAAGAGAGGATGACCAGAGCAAAACTGAGTTCACATTCCAGTCCTGCTACTTAATAGAAGTGTGGTTTGCCTCATCTAAGATGGAAATTGTATGTTTGCAGGCTGTTGTGGAGATCAAATGAAGGTATGAATGTGGATAAAACATCTCACGCCAAATAGGCTCAGTATGATAGTTCCTGGTACTTAAGTCCAGTTGAAAGTAGCCTACAGGTCAAGAAAAAGACATAACAAATTTGGATGTGACTATACAGAAATGTGACCTTCTTGTGTTGGGAAGAAAATGGTGAAATAAGTATAGCATCTGATCCCTGGAACAGTTACTTAGATATTTTTTTCCAGAAGTCCATGAATGGTTTTGACACATGCACAGAAGGCTGCAAACGTGCTGCTGTCACACTGATTATCAGAGAGGCCATTCTTTTCTCTTTCCCATTTATCTCCTTTGCTTGCACTGTGAGTTAGTTAGGGGGGAAAAAAAAAGTTGGGTAACGGTGGGCACATACCATTAATCCAAGCCCCTGTGAAGCAGAGGCAGCCAGATCTCTGTGAATTCAAGGCTGCCTGGTCTAGAATTCCAAGAGCACCAAGGCTACACAGAGAAACACTGCCTCAAAAAAAACAAACAAGGAAACAAAAACAAAAACCAAATTGTTAATAGAAACTAGGATAAGAAGAAACAAGGAAATGTGGCCAAGCTGACTTTAGGAATGAGTGAAATATTGTTTGAGTTGATTACTAACATGTGATGCACAAAAACAGAACAAAACAAAAAACCAAAAACGTAAAGCTTTGTAGAAGTGAAGATAAATAAATATGTACAGGTACTTTTTTAATGTGTGAAAATACCCTTTCTGGTTCATCTCTTAGAACATCTGCTTTTCACTGTAGAGTACATGCAGGTACATTTTTGTATACGTAAGGCCCAAGGTTTGGTTTTTCTCTTGTTCAGCTTCTCTAGACTTGAAGTTCCACATTTGGTCATAAATGATCTTGAAATTCTAATTGTCCTGCCTCTGTCTCTTAAATGTTAGGATTATATGCATGTCCCACCACACCCAGTTTTATGTGATATCATGGATTGAGGCAGAGTCTGGTGTATGACCTAGGGCTTTGTATAAAGTAAGGCAAGTAAGTACTCTACTAACTTCTGTAGCCTCATCTCCAGTTTTGGTTTTGAGATACTCCCAACCCATTATAGTTCTACAGCAGTTACAATGTGTTTGTATAAGAAAAATTATTACTAACTTGCTCTTGATTTTTTCACATTTCAGAGTGGTGAAACCAGAACAATATCTCACTTTCATTATACCACCTGGCCAGATTTTGGAGTTCCTGAGTCACCAGCTTCATTCCTAAATTTTTTGTTTAAAGTTAGAGAATCTGGCTCCTTGAGCCCTGACCACGGACCTGCAGTGATCCACTGCAGTGCAGGCATTGGGCGCTCTGGCACCTTCTCTCTTGTCGACACCTGCCTTATTCTAGTAAGTAGCCATGCTGACCTCATTTCAGTTGTGTTTTTGCTTTCCTTTTGTTTTATGATTTTATAGTATTGATGATGGAAACATAAACATTTGTGTATGACTAATACCTGGGGTCAGAAGAGAGCATTGGATCCCCAAAGCCGGAGTTGCAGATAGTTGTAAGACACTTCAACATGTGTGTGTGCTGGGAACCAAACCCTTGTCCTCTGCAAGAGCAGCCAATGCTCTTAACCACTGAGCTTCTTAATTTTTAACTATTTCTTCAGGCAGCAGTATGTTCTGAGGTCATATCTCAGAACTCGAGGGTTTTTGGTACTCTCTGTGGAAAAATTCTGACTTCCACTATTTAAATGGACCGTAACTCCTGGCTTGTATCTATGTATCCAAAACAATTCCAAAGATTCCCCAAGAAGTTTTTTTCAGCCAGGCTTGGCTCATATCTTTCTTCCCAACACTAAATGAGCTGAGGCAGAAAATGTGCTCCAAGTTTGAGGACAGCCTGGCCTAAGGAGTTAGATCCTATCCAAAAAAAATGGAAGAAAAGAAGAATAAAATAAAGTTTTCCCCTAAAAGGGAGAGAAATGACAAAACAATACTGGTTTAATGGTACATGCCTGTTGCTCAGCATCTAAGGCAGCCAGGGTTACCTAGTGAGATCCTACCTCAAAAAAGAGGAAAATGCCAATGAACTGGGGGTATTGCAAGCATGAAGACAGATTCCCAGCTCACATGTAAAAGCTAAGCTCAGTGGTACATGTCTGTGATCCCAGAACTTAGGGGAAGTGGAGTTAGGTGGATTCCCTAGAGCTCACTGACTAGCCAGCTTACCCAAATTAATGAGCTCCAGGTCCAGTGAGAGAAACCCTCTTAAAAAATAAGAAAAAAGGCCAGATATGATGGCACACACCTTTGTTTCCAGCAGAGGAACTCTGTGAGTTCCAGACCAGCCTGGTCTACATAGCAAGGACAGCCAGAGCTACATGATGGAGACCCTGCTTTAGAAGAAGAACAATTGAGGAAGCCACCTAACATCTGCCCCTGGGCTTCCATACACACAGGGACATGCACTGCACAGATACATAAATGCGTCATAAATACATTCTCACTATAATTTATAAGTTTTTTAAAATTGGAAGCTGGGCACAGTGGCATACATCTGTTATCCCAGCACTCTGAGAGGCACAGGCAGGCAGATCTCTGTGAGTTCAAGGCCAGCCTCATCTACACAGCAAGTCCAGGATAGCCAAGGCTACACAGAGAAATCCTGACTTGGAAAACAAAAACAAAACAACAAAAAACTGTATTGGCAGGCTAGTTCAGCAGGTAAGGTATTTGCTGCCAATTCTAGTTTTGGCCTGACTTCTACCATAGACCATACTGGGTCAGAGAAAACCAACTCCTATAAGTTGTTGTCTTACTTAAAATATTTTTAAGCCAATGAGGTGGTACCTGCCTGTAACCCCATGCTTGGATGATGGAGGCAAGAGAAACAAGTCCATATGGAGTTTGAGCTAGCCTGAGCAACATGAGAATTTGTCTCAACACCCCCTACCTCCATTTCTGGGAGCTTTATATACAGAATTAGAAGCTTCTGCCTTCAGTTATAAATTCATGTGTGATAGGAGTTCTTTCTTTCTTAATAAGTATTTCATCTCTTATTTCTAAACCAAGACTGATAAAAGTACTTACCAGGGTTACTGTGAGAATTCTGTGGATTAATGATGCTTTCTAGTTAATTTCAGCTATCAACATGACACAGCCTAGAGTCATCTGAGAGGAGCCTCAATTATTGACTTTTCTAGGTCAGATTGGTGTTATTTGCAGGGAACTTTCATGATTGTCAATTGATGTAGGAGGGTCTGGCCCACTGTGGGATTACTATCCTAGGCAGGTGATTCTAAACTATATATGAAAGCTGGATGAGTACAAACTGACCTGTGAGCCAGTTAGCCTACAACACCCTCTATGGCTCCAGCATGGTTCTTTGGCTGTGAATCTTGATTGGAGGTGATGTCTTGATTTCCCCCTTATAGGCTGTCATCTGGAGTTGTAAACTGAAATAAAGCCTTTCCCCCTAAGCTGCTTTCGTGGTCTGTCACAGCAACAAAAATGAAACCAGGACACCCCATGTTAGTACAGTGCCAAACCTGAGATTCTTTTTTTTTTTTTTTTAAATTTCGAACCCGAGATTCTTATATGGGACCTCAAATGCTATACTTGTTTTTTTTTCAGCCAACCACAGCCACAGCTGATTTAAGTCCCTTCTACCTTTTATTTTTGCTTATATGTATGTGTGCACCAGGTGAAGAAGAGCAATTAGCAAAAAGGTTTATTTCTGCGAAAAGCATTTTAAAAAACAAGTAATACTTCTGATCACACCTGAGGATGTAGAATTGCCTAATAGATTGCTTGCCTAGTATGTGCAAAGCTCTGGGTTCGTTCTGCAGTGCCACGTAAACAGCCATGGTTACCCACTCCTGTACTACCAGGACTTGGGAAGTAAAGATAGGCTTATCAGAAGTTCAGGGCCATCCTCAACTGCATAGCAGATTTAAGCCTAGCCTAGGACGCATGACACTTTCCTGCCCACCTCTGTCTGGGGAAAAACAAAACAAAAGAGCTCAGCCATGGTGACCTTTTAGAGATCAAGACCAGCCCTGAGCTAAAAAAAAAAAAAAAAAAAAAAAAAAAATCACTCTTCTTGGCCTAGTAAGATGGTCAGTGGGTAAAGTCGCTTGCCATGCTCAGTTACCTAAGTTTTATCCCCAGGGCCCAGACAGCTAACAGAGAGAACTGATTCCCTGAGTTGTCACCTCACTTCCACGTACTTGCTAGGTTACATGCATACATACTCACTCAGACACACACAAAAAATCAAAATGTAATAAATTTAAAAAACTGTATTACTCCCTTAACATGTCCAGCTTGGCTCCAGTATCGTTTTCTCATGAAAGAGGCCCCCTCCCCTCTGAATAGTGGGAAAGAGAGGAATATGATTTTTTTTTTTTTTAAGCTAGGTCTCGTTATGTAGCCCTAGTTAGCCTCGAGTTTGAATCAGCCCTGCTTCCCGAGTGCTGGGGTCACAGGCATATTCCACCTCCTGGCCGTGGCTGGGGTAACGGTGCAGCCCAACAGTTGCAGCACTTGGGAGGCAGAGGCTAGGAAATCATAAGTTCAAGGGCATTCTTGGGTACATGACAAGTTCAGAGCTAGCTTGGTTACTTACTACTCTGTTAAAAAACAATAACAAACCACATTAAGAGGGGAAAAAAAAACTATGAAAGTGCAATTACCCCCTATATTAGTCAAAACTAAGAATCCTTCCTTTCACTGAACTTGATCAGAGCAAATGAGATTGTTGTTATTGTTTGGAGTTGGCTCAGAGGTCTTTAGACACTACTTTGATGGCCTGGCCTGTGTGAATTCGTGTGAGAATGCGGTGGGTTGCCATAGTGTGTCAGAATATTTCTCCTTTAAGAAGGAACCCATGCATAGCTAAGGTCTGAGCAGTGGCTTGTATTGCTTCTCTTTTCTGGGCTCAAATAACTTTATTTTTCCTTTCTTGCAGATGGAAAAAGGAGATGATGTTAATGTGAAACAAGTATTACTGAACATGAGAAAGTATCGAATGGGACTTATTCAGACCCCAGACCAGCTCAGATTCTCCTACATGGCCATAATAGAAGGAGCAAAGTACATAAAAGGAGATTCAAATATACAGGTAAACTCACTATCATTAATGTCAAATAACCAGACACCATCTAAATCTTTATCCTTTCCTTAATTTGGTAGATCCAGCTGGCTGCTTGAAATCATAAAATTTCCCAGCATTCAGCAGGCAGAGATGTGTTGGGCATGGTAGGGCACGCCTTTAATCCCAGCACTCAGGAGGCAAAGGCAGGTGGATCTCTGTGAGGCCAGCCTGGTCTGAACAGTGAAATCTTGACTTGAAAAACAAAAACAAAAAAAAATGTGTGTGTGTATAATTTAAGAACATACACTCGTATATATACTTAGCATAAGTGGAAACAAGATTTAATAAAAAAATTTTTATATGCGAGAGGAATTAAGCTTTTAATTATTTAAATAAATGAGAAACCATAAGAACTTTTATTCTAGTAAAAACTTGATGTGAGGGTGGGGGAGGTTGCTCAGTGGTCAGTGATTACAAGTCCCTGCTGCTCTTCCAGAGGACCTGAGCCTGTTCCCAGAACTCATGTTGAGCAGCTCACAACCATTTGTAATGCCAGCTCCAGGGGGTTGAACACCTCTGGCCTCTTAATGGCACTTTCTGTCTTATGCACATACCTAAACACACACACACACACACACACACACACACACACACACACATAATTAAAAATAATGGAAATAATCTTTTTAAAAATCCTTTGTTGTAGTAAATTAAAAAAAATGACTGTTGGATTGTATAATGTTATTTATTATTTGCCGTATGATTATCATGGCGGTATTACTTAACCCACTGTCACAAATAATAAGACACAGACACCTGTTAGATTTTATAATTGCCTTATTTACCTTTGGCCAGGCAGAGATTTCACCCACTCTGGCTCAGTAACCTCACCATCCATCTCCCAGCCCCCATCCAATGCCGTCCACCTTAATCCTCCTCATCTGGTTTACCTTCTATACATAATCCCATGGTACTTGCTTATATTCTTTATTTGGGCCTTTTCATGCTGTTATCGGAGACCTTCCTCCTCGTCCATGTGGGTCCTTCTCTTCTCTACACTAACCCATCATGGCATCCTCCCTCCTTTCTCCCTCCTATCAGTGTGTACCCATGATTCTCCTGACCCCCATTCTGCCCAGGTATAGGTTGCTTAATCAACCAATCAGATATAACGACGTAGGCAGCTTTACAAAACAAGGATAAGTTTACACAATAAGGATAGGTTTACACAAATCTTGAGGGCTAGCATCAGAACAAACCTTAACAATCCTTCATGTGGGAATTAAGACTATTTGTTTTTATATTTGAATAGCTTCAGTTCTTCTGGCAGACCTAGGTACTAGGGGGAGTCTTTACATTCTGATGGTGATATTACTCTCAAGATGTTTTTATTGCACATTTATAGACAATAAGATCAAAAAGTATCAGCTTAATATGTGATGAACTAAAGAACTAAAGATCTTAAAATACAAACAGAAATAAGACCCCCTTCATGTCTCGTCTGACTATACAATATATATATACAGTCTAATATATATATATTAGAGGCTGGGCACTTGAGACCAACAATCTGAAATACACAACTTTTTTAATATCTGTATACAAGTATCTGCCTTAAAATATGTGAGACATATACATTATATATGTTTTTTTGTTACTTTGAGACAAGTTTTCTCTTTGTCGCCCTGGCTGTTGGAGAGACCAGGCTGGTCTCAAACTCATAGAGATTGCCCTGCTTCTGCTTCCCCAAGTGCTCAGATTATAGGTGTGTACCACCATGCTCAGAATGATTATTTTTACATATGTGTTCATGTTTGTGTTTACCGGCAAGTGCTGGTGTACATATGTGCAGAGGAAAAAGTCAATGTTAGATTTACCTTGTTCTTCCCTGCCTTATATTGAATAATTGTAATTTGTAGATCCTGATTTAAAGAAAACAAAAAATTTCATTGCTTAATATTTCTTTTTTTCTACCTAGAAACGGTGGAGAGAACTTTCTAAAGAAGATTTATCTCCTATTTATGATCATTCACACAATAGAACAATGATTGAAAAGTACAATGGGAAGAGAAGAGGTTCAGAAGATGAGAAATTAACAGGACTTCCTTCTAAGATGCAAGACACTGTGGAAGAGAACAATGAAAGGTATGTGCCATGTAGTCACCTACTGAGAGAGATGAGGCTGTTTAGTAAATTCAGAAGCATGAAATAATTTAGACACTTTGTTTACACAGTTACTGTGACCTTTTACTTATATCAAAGTGTTTAGATGGTGTTTGAGGACATAGATATTTTCAAAGAGTTTTGTGTCGTATTAAGAAAGCCACTGGAGAGGTGGCTCTGTGGGTAAAGCACTTACTGCTTTGTTAGAGGACCTGAGTTCAGTTCTCGGGGCCCACAGCAGGTGACTCACAACCAACTGCAATGCTAGTTCTGTGGATTTAATGTTCCTCTAGCCTCCTCGGGCTTTTTTATTTTTATTTTTTTAAGATTTATTTATTTTCCATTTATGAGTGTTTGGGCTGCATGTGCACCACATGTGTGCCTGGTACTCACAGACGCCAGAGGCCGGTGCCTCATTCCCTTAAACTGGAGTCACAGACAGTTGTGAGCTATCAAGTGAGTGTTGGAAATCCAACCTGGTCCATTTGCAAGAACAAGTGTTCTTAACTACTAAGCCATCTCTCCAGCCCCAACAAATAGTTTTGAAAACATAATAATTATAAATTTAAAGAAACAGTACTGCTTGTGTACAGAAGTAACTATAATTAGGTGATAAGATAAATAGTATAATAGAGAAAATGAAAGTATGAGTGAACGTGTGTAATTTCTAAGTATTCGTATTACAGGTATAATTGTCAACATGACTTTAATAAAACCATAAAATACCTAAATGTAGTTCCACCATGGAACATTTTTCTCCAGAATTACATAAAACACTTAACTGTAGGACTACAGCATTTTATACGCACATTGGGAAGCTAGTATCCTAGTGGGTGAATGAGATCTCTTTTACTTCTTTTTCTGATGACTCTATTTTCTTTTTTTTTTTTTTTTTTTATGTTTTTTATTGTGGATAATGTTATGTTGTATTTGTAAGACTAGGGTCCAAGTTGTCCCATGAAAGTAGTCAAAGTTCACCTCCCTGGGACTGAGGGTATAGCTCAGTGACAATATACACAGGGCCCTGGGATCAGTCCTTAGCATCAGAAAAAAAAAAATTGTTTTCTTGAATTTTATAAAAGCTAACATTTCAATATTTAGTTACATTTGCTTTTATACATTAATGACAATTTTAGTGTAGCAACTTAACTCCTCATTTAGTGTTTTTAGACAACCAGCACAAGTTTAAAGGTTGTTGCTTTTAGGCTGCTGGCAAAAGAAAATATGTGCACATAGCAGTCTGACTCCCTTATTGGTACTCTTGGATCTTTTTGTGTATACATTGCATTTCCAGTTGTTGTGATAGCTATATTTTCAGTTCCTAAAGCAAATTTTAGCGAATAACTTTTCCAACTCAAGAAAACATTTTGACAAGAGTTCACACGGGCAAAGGCAGCATCATAAGAAATAATAAGTAATAAGAAAAGACAAGCAAACTGTAAAAAGTGTAATAAGTAATAAGAACAAGACAGCAAACCGCCATAGGACCTAGCAAGATATGCACACACGGTCCTCATATACTCACACACATTACGAGGGTGAAGCAATGGCCCAGTTAACAAATCTTTACTACATTAATCCAGTCTAGAGGCTGGAGAGATGGCTCAGTGGTGAAAGCAGTTGGCTGCTCTTTCAGAGGACTCAGGTTCAAGTACCACCACCTACATGGTAGCTCACAACTGTCTATAACTCCAGTTTTAGTGGATCTGACACCATCCCACAGACATACATGTAGGCAAAACATCAGTGCACATAAAAATGAAAATAATTTAAAGTTGTTTTCAGTTGGTAGCGTGCTTATCTGGCATGCCATAAAACCCTGAGTTACACCACATTAAAAAAATGGACATGCCTGGAACATGTGGAATACCAACACTTGAGAGAGGAGGAAGCAGGATGATCAGAAGTTCAAGGTCAGCCTTGGCTACATACTGAATTCGAGGCTAGCCTGGAGACTTGTTTTTTGGGTTTTTTGTTTTAAAAAAAAAAATGATGGCCAACAAATAAAAGCCTAATAACCTAATTTTGATCACTGCATCCCACTGTAAAAGGGAGATTACCCAACTTCTCAGTGTCCTGACCTCTGCAGGTTTCTTCCTTCCCACTTCTCTCCTTCTCGCCCTCCTTCCCCACCTCTCATACACAAAACTACAATAATTAAAAATGAAATTCACAGCTGTACACCTGTATCCAAAGCACTCAGAAGGCTGAGGCAGGAGAATCTCAAGTTTAAGGATAGCCAAGCTTATGTATTGAGATCCGCTCTCTAAGAGTAAATAATTAATCTTAGATCTTGTTAGGGCTCATGCTTGTATCTGATTGAGGTGAAGTTTTGCTGTCCTTAGTCAGAACAGTTTAGCTACTTTCTTCTGCTTCGCTTGGCATATGATCTTTTAGAATATCTCATAGTTTGAATTTCTCTAATTGTCGTTCTTCTTGACTATATCAGGTTAAACATGTTGACCAGAAAAGGTCTTGTGATCTAGTAGACACTGAAGAGTCAGTCAAGATTTTTTTTTTTTTAATCAGGATGCATGTTAAAAGCTGTGACTTAAAAAATTACTGCCAGGACTGAGGCTGGTCAGGCATTTGCTTTCACACATACTGTAAGTGAAAAAGAGATGGATTTTGTGATTCCTTTTTTTTTTTTTTTTTCCCTAGAGGAAGAGGGTTGGTGGCTGATATGTTGACATTGCCTTTTGCCTTTTTTTTTTTTTTTTTTTTTTTTTTTTGTGAGTCCCAGGATTAATTGCCTTGGATATCAGTGAACTTTGGCTGAAACAAAATTTTATGGTTGGACAGGAAAATAGACACTAGAAGTTTGTATGGTCAGATGGAAGAATGGGCACCCTCCAGACAGAGCATTCATAGAAATGGTCACTAGCATTTGTTAAAAGACTCTGAATTTTCATATGCTGTCATACAAGAGAATGAGATGCGGGAGAATCTCCAGTCTGTCCCCTCTCAGCTGTTTGGGAAGAGAGAGGGAGGGAAAGGAGGAGAGCACAGAGGAAAAGGAGTGAGTAGACAGCTGAAGAAGTGTCTGACTCACCTTCAGGTTCTGTTGAAGTGTTACTGTAATTATGCCAGAAATTGTACCTGAACTTTCAGCGCGCCACTGGCCATTTGCAACAATTTGGCCTTTTTCCATTATTACTACACTGTTTAAGTGAGATGAAAAATGCATGAATGTCCATGGTTTTGTTGGTAGCCAGGCTACAGTGTCATTGTAATTAAGGGCTGCCGTGCAGACACTCACTTGTTTTTGTCTGTTCACAGTATTCTGCGGAAACGCATCCGAGAGGACAGAAAGGCTACTACAGCTCAGAAGGTGCAGCAGATGAAACAGAGGCTAAATGAAACTGAACGAAAAAGAAAAAGGTGGTTATATTGGCAACCTTTTCTCACTAAGTTGGGGTTTGTGTCAGTCATTTTTGTTGGCTTTTTGGTTGGCTGGACACTGTTTTTTCAGTAAAACATCCTATAAATAGTTTTCCCCAGCACCTTTCTGCACTAGTAGCTGACAGTGGCGCACTAATCTCAAGGGTTTGTTAGCAAATGCTTCATACCCCAAAAGCGTTGCGCTAGAATAGACATCAACCAGATAAGGGATATTCAGTCACAGCCCAGCATCTCAGGACTCATCACTGCAGGTTCCTCTGAGACCCAACCTGTCAATGGCTCGAAATAAAGACAAATTGCTTGTTGAAACTGTTACATCTTACCGCTGTGTTCATACATCTCGAGCACCCTGTTTCCCTGACCAGTACTGAGAAATCCTTTATCACAAGGATTGGCTTTTGGAGGCTTTCTGGATATTAACCTGCACTTGATATAAGCAATAAACATTTTGGGTTTTTTTCTACATTATTAGTGGAAAGTAAATATTCTTTAAGTAATGTATGTAATGTGTAATGTACTGTTGAAATGGGCATTACAACTTTATATGCTTAACCATTTTAGGGTAAATATATTTTATAAGTACCTATTTAATCTTACTTTTGTAGTTAAATGTACTTTTTAAAAATTCAATTTGAAAATTTGTTACCATAGAAAAATAAATTGTATGTTGACTCAATTGTATACTGGATACATTTTCCCTTTCTGAAACAGAAGTTTGATAGAGGCAGTTGAAACTATAAGCAAGTTATTTCTACTACACATATTTATTTCTTTTGTATTTTATGATTTATCTTATTTTAAAAAAGAAAAAAACAAATGAAATTTTCCTAAACATGTCATTGAAGGAAATTCTCCTTTCTGGGATAGTCAAGTGACCGTTGGTCAAGGCTTAGTTCAAAAACAACTTATAAAAAAAATAGTTTCTGCAGGATATGATGGTAAACACAGCACTCAAGAAGATAAGGCAAGAGTTTGAAAGTTTGAAGCCAGCCAGAACTGCATAGCAAGTTCCTATCTTTAAAAATAAAAGTAAAAAAAAAAGATATGGTAGAGGTGAGATCAGAAAATACCTAGAATAAGAAATTGGTTTTAGCCATATTTGATGACACAAACCTGTAATCTCAGCACTTGGGAGATAGAGGTGAAAGGATCACAAGTTCAAGGCCAGCTTCAACTATGTAGCCAGCCCCAGAATTTGGGGCCTGCCAGGACTACAAGAAACACTGTCTCAAAAACTGAAGAAAAGAAACTGATTTCTGTAAAGTAAAACCCATGCATGACTTATACTGTTCTTTTTGTGTGTGTGTGTGTGAAAATGTTAATGTAATTACCCATGTGGGATAAATTATGACTAGTAAGGAAAAGGAATCAGTGTTTTATACTTATGATTTCAGCTCACTATACTGAAATTTTGAAGTAAAAAAAAAATTAATTTCTTTCTAAGTTCAATAAATAGTATGATGGTTTACAAACTTACATTGTCCCTCACCTTTGTAATGAGTATTTTTAAAGTATAAACCACTAATAGGGTTTTGGTGGTTCAAACTCTGTGCTTTGGATTTTAGGAAGATCACCCAAGTGGTGGAAAGATCCCAAACCACTCCACTTCATCTCTTTATATATCATGTAAGAATGCATTGCAAGGCTTAATTACAGTTAATTTTAATGCAGTTTGAAAATTATAGGTATAGCTAGAAATTGTGAATGGCCTTGAGAAGCAGTCTTTAATGTGTTAAAGTCTGAAATCGGGATACAGGTGGTACTACATACTAAATAAGATTATGTAGTGCATGTCTGTTTCTTGATTCACTATTACTGTCCTGTAACTTTGAAATGGAGAGCAGGTAAGCAGGATGTTTCCTTTTGTCTGTTTGCATTAAACCTATGTTTAAACATTAAGACCATTAGGCTTTAGGAATTAGATAGTCATCGGTTTGAGCTTTCTAATGTTTATTGGCTTGTTTTTTTCAAAATATAGTATGTTACCTTATTAAAATTCCAGTTGAAGCTGGATGAGGTGACACACACCTTTAGTGCCAGCATTAAGGAGGCCAACACAGGCAGATTCCTGTGAGTTCCAGGCTAGCTTGGTCTGCATAACAAGTTCCAGCCAACCAGTGATCTACATTGAGACCCAGTCTTACAAGAAAGGAATCCAATTGAATATAGCCTCAGCTTGAACAACTACTTAGGAGAAAATACTGATAAGGCCTCGCCTAGTCCTTTCCTGGAAAGATACGCCTTCTAGAGATGGCATTGGGCACTGCTCTTTCTGCCTCTTGGTATATGCTTAGTGCTTCTGAGAACACATTTGGTGTAGTGAATCCTCAGTGCCCTTCATCAGAGCCTGTCTTCTTTCTCCTCTGAGCAAATCTTTAAGGATGAGTTTTAACAGCAGAAGCTTTAAATTACATTTTATGCTGCTTACTAAGTAAACTTGGCTTTCAGTGACAGTGCCCATGGCCATCATTCTGGCCGTGTAGGGAATGAGCTGTACCAGTGAGACACCACACCATCTTGTGTGCTATCCAGAGAAGGCAAGTTAGCAGTCTCTGGTTCTGCATCTTTACGTACTTGTGTCAGTCAGTGGTATTTACTGAGTTTAACCAATTTGGGAATAATAGTTTTCTTGAATCAAATTGTTTTCTTAATAAATTGGGAAAAGGTATTTTTAAAGGGGCTTACTATTTACTGAGAAGAATCCTTAATTCCTTTCTCTTCCTGCCTTGTGGTCACGCTTGTGGTTATGTATACCTTTCCACAGTTAACCAGGTACTGTTTTATTTCTGCCTACTAATTTCTGTTCATGCTTGCTCAAACATAAAATGTAAAAATAAAGCTCTTTAAATTTGTGTAGATGTAAAGACCATTTCTCATGGTCAGCAGAGACTTTACACATTTTTCAAGCTTCCTATGTCTTGGTTCTTCTTTTTATCCTTTCCATTATGTGTTACTTTTGTATCAAAGAGTGAACATGAAAAGAAAAAGTGAAAACATGTATTAATCAGTCTGTTCAAACAGCTATGCTTTACAATTGCAACAGAGGGAAGAGGCCTATTGGAGCTCATCTTACCTGCACGTGGTTGTTCCTTTGTCTTAAATAAACTAAAGTTGATGGTATGAATTTAGAGCTATGTCCCACCCTTTATGAGCTCTCTAGTTTTCACATCACTTCCTTTGCTTTCAGCACTAGTTCCTAGGGTGGTGGTACCATTTTCTATATTACAGGACTGGAGCTGATTCCTTTAAAATACACCTCTGGCTAGGCTAGATTCTACATAGAGACTGGAACCTGATGGTACTAAAAGTACATTTTTTTTTTTTTTAACCATTGCATACAAGTCTTAATGAATTTACATTGCCAGATATGCCCATCAAGTCATTGCACTGTCTGAAAATCTACATTGCCTTAATGTTTTTGCTAACAGAAATCTTTATTTGTGGTGGTTATTGCTAGGTTTATTTATTCATTTATTGTTTGTGAGTTGAGCTAATGCCTTGCCATTGGCCACGGCTGGCCCTAAACTCCTCGGCTCAGATGATCATCCTCCTGAGCCTGTTGGGCTGCTCCCACCACAGTCACATGCACACACAGCTTTCAGATGTAAAGCTCGAAGAGACTCTTCTAAAACTGTAGTCTTAAAGCAGACTCCCCTACATGTATTGCCTGCTTTTTTAAATGTCAGATAAGGTTTCAGGCCTTTAGTCAAGCTTGGTCCATCGTCTTTCCTGATGAGTGGCGTGTATGGCTGTGGTGTGATTCTATGTAGTCTGTTGTCTGGTAGGAAGCAAGGGCTCCTTAGGGCCTTCATCTGGCTAAATGTGAGCCATCTGTTCACAGTTTGGAACTAAGTACCAACAGAAATGTACATCTTATTTATATACCAACAGCTAATAAAGTGTTATGTGTGCGACTTCTTTATATAGCTTTTTCATAGAATCTTGTATATACTTTTTCCCCCCAAAACAGAAATGTTCTTCTTCATTAAATTTGTCATCTCATAACTTGAAACACAGGCCTTAGTCATTGGCAATGGCTTGCTCCAGAGGAGACCTGCTCCATTCACCCTTTCCTTGAACTCTCTTGTTTGGGTTGAATACCATTTCTTCCTCATGCTGGTTTTTTGTTTTTACCAGATGGCAACGCCACAGGGTCCACCGCATCACACCTGGAATAACAGCTGTCTATAATTGTCCCCTTGAGCATGGAAGGAGAAACTCAGTTTGTGTCCTCCATTCCTGTTCTGCCGGGAAGCCAGTCCCCAGTCAGAGGGCTTGCTCTACAGCTAGTGGTCTTCCTTCCTCAGCTCTATAGTTTCAAGCCATCCTGCACAAGTGCTTTCTCCCAGCTGTGGCTACAGGAAGACCATTGTTCTTTGCTGGTTGTGGTGTTTTTGTTTTTTTGTTTTTCTTCCTGCTGTCACTGTCCCAGCACAGTGTCATCACCAGTGCAAGCAGAACTTGAGGCTTGGACCTGCCTAATGGGCTTTGTGTAGGCTGACACATAGCATTTAAAGAGCCCACACCATCTCTGGGCAGCCTGTCTAGAGAACGAGTTCTGACTTTGGACCTTGATTGTAAAGTTCACAGTGGACTATGAGTAGTGAGGAGTGAAGTCATCACCTATAGGGTCTGTGGGAACACCATCTGCTTTTACATTTCCCTGTTTTGTTTGGGACTGTTGCCTGCAAGGAGAATTGCATGGGAATTTTTTTTAATCTTTTTCTTTACAGAGACCACTTTAAGAAGCATCGAATTATTCTTTTTAGTCACTCATTAGGCATAGATTTATCAGACCCATGATGCTGTTGATATTTTAAATGACTATTTTAAAATGTCTTTGAGTTTGGAAAGTTCAGGAGAGGAAGCCTAGGTAAGTTGTTTTAAAGCAGGCTTGGCGCACTGCCATTAGCTTTGGGTGATCTCAGTAGGATGCTAGTGTAAATTGAAACAACTTTTAATGCAGTATGATTTTCCCTCTACCGTGGAAGGAAGAACACTCCAGCATCTGCCTCTGCAGCATGGGGACTGCTGACATTCAGGGCACCCATGTAGCCCATTGCTTGATTTGGTGGATCCATTCAAGTGAATAATTGAATTATCTGAGAAGCCCATTTTTCTTTATAGTTTTACAAATAAAGTCATCTTATGGAAGCTATTCCAGTGGTTTCCTTTTAATTTGTTGCCCTTAAATACTATTTGCAAAGACAAAAGTAATGAATTCTTAAAACCACAGTCTGTTGTTACATGGCAAATGTATTGTTCTTGGTAAGTGCATTCATTATTTAACAAACACTAGGAAAAGGTAAATGTGTATGCTGAACATCTGCAGTTTTGCCAGCCATTTTAAATACTTGTTCTAAATTTAGGCTCATGACACTTTAGATGATGCCACCCTTATTTTCAGATGAGATCACCCAGCTTATGCAGATAAAGCTGAGATGTAAACTCCAGGCTGTGGTTTCAGTATCTAAATGCAGACTCTTTTTTCATATGTCACACCACTGTTCTTTATTCCAAGTATTTATTTAAACCAGATATTTAAGTGGTGAAATAGTAGACATCGACAGCCCACTTTTAACTAAAAGTCCAAATAAATTGTCTTTAAGTGGAGGAGGGAAAAAATCCCTTTTAAAACACTACAGTAATGGAGTACTAGAAAGTTTCCCTGCCAGAGCACCTTTCTTTCACAGTGTAATACATTCTGCCTAGTTACAACCAGCTGTTTGGTCCCAGGTTCTGGAGTCTTAAACAAGCATCCTGGTTTTTCTGTGACCCATTGATAGCTAAAGAGTATGGTTTCCTAATGACAACACTGTAAAAATCCGTGTTGGAAAATCAAACTTCGTAGACCACCACAGGTGCTTGGTAGAGCTGCTTGCATTTGGAGGCACAAGGGAGTAGGCAGAGGAGCAGGCCTAAATGGTGGAGATCTGCTGTGATACAGAAGTAACAAGCATTTATGTTGGTAGCTTGTGTGACTTCGAGAGAGAGAGAGAGAATGAGTGGGGAGTTGTTGCAAAAATGAAAATACCTTTAACCTCTCAGAAGGTTTGGTTACTGGCAAATAATTGTGAGATATCAGCAAAGACTATTGCTCTTAACAGTCACTCCCTCTGTCTCTTGCTTGTTTAAACGCTTTCTCTCCTTTTTTTCTTTTTAGCATTAAAATGCACTGAAGTGTCACGTTTTACTTAGTTTAGTAGTTATAATCATTAGTGTTATCCTTCAGGAGAAAACACAAGTGCCGAAAATCTGATTTAGAGGTACAAGCCAACTTTATGCCCAAAGTTTGTATTTAAACTGTTTCTGATAGTGTTACAGTGGTTGTCCAAACTGGATTAGACTTTTGCATTGAAATCAAGGTATGGGTAAGTCTAGCACATACAATAAAATCTTGCTATATTCTTGTGGCCACATTATTTTTTTTTTTAACTTGTCTGTGTCTTAGCGTATTATGTAGAGGTCATTGCTGGCCTAAAAGATTCAGTGAGTAAATACTGGAGAAGTGAGTTATGGTACATCAAGTCAGTATGTCTCACAGCACTGCTCCCATTTGGAAATCCATCTTTGGGAAGCGCTGGGTGTGATTGGATGTGATGTGTGGAATGGCTTTTAGTTGACTTTTTAGTTAAGTGTTAGTCCTTTTGTGTTTGTGTCTATGTACATCTGTGTGTGTGGTGGATATGAATTGAATAGATGACTTCTTATTTTATATTTTAGGCCAAGACTGACAGACACCTAAATGTTCATGACTTGAGACTATTCTGCAGCTATAAATTTTGAACCTTTGATGTGCAAAGCAAGAGCCGAAGCCCACTCCGGAAACTAAAGTGAGGCTTGCTAACCCTGTAGATTGCCTCACAAGTTGTTTACAAAGTAAGCTTTACATCCAGGGGATGAAGAAAGCCACCAGCAGAAGACTTGCAAACCCTTTAATTTGATGTATTGTTTTTTAACATGTGTATGAAATGTAGAAAGATGTAAAAGAAATAAATTAGGAGAGACTACTTTGTATTGTACTGCCATTCCTAATGTATTTTTATACTTTTTGGCAGCATTAAATATTTTTATTAAATAGACTATGCTGGTTTGTGTGTGTGTTATCTCAGGACAGCTGTAATTCAAATAGTGATTATTTTCTCATGGGTTTACTCAAGTTTTCTTATAGCTAGAAATTGGCATTGAAGTTCAAATTGGTTTGAAATACAGGTCACCTTCAACTACCCTTCAGTATTTTTTATCCTAATTAGTACAAATTAGGCAAGCAACAACAGAAAACTTGTACCGTTGCCCTTGTCACTTAGGACACTGACCTTCATGATAGCATTGCTTAGTGGTCCGCATTTTGTTCAGCCACAGTTCCGTGTGGCTTTTAACATCACAGTTGTCCTGTGTTGGACATTGTGCGTTTCCAGGCATTTCCTTATGTAAAGATGCCAGAGGTTCCTTCCCACTTGTGACTTCTGGCTTATTTCCCATCTGATTTGAACAGTCACTCATGGGTTTGGAATATGTTTTAGTCAATTGTCAGGTGACTGTAACAGTTTTGGTGGCTGGAGAAATTCAGCCCACGTAGTATTCATAGAGCAGTACTTTCACATAGGAAATCATAATTTTGCTGCTCCTAAGTACACCTGTTTTATCCTTTAGAAATCTAGAGGAATTATGTTCCTCTAATCCATATGTCAAGTTTTCTAGATAACTGAGTTCCTGCTATACCCTTCCTAAAAAGCTTAGTACCTCACTGAATGCTTCCTAAAAAGCTTAATACCTCACTGAATAGCGCAGCAAGCTGTCTTCCCAGTGCATCAGAATTGCCCTTAACCCATTCTCCCAATTCTCCTTCCTCTCTTGGTTCTCACCTCATTAGCAGCATCTGACTTTTTTTTTTAAGCCCTCCACAAATGGTGGAGAAAGATCTTCACTTGCATTATAGTCCTCTAAGGGCCGTACAACTTCTGGGAATGATATAGACTCCTCAGACTCTTGAGGCCTCCCTGGGTTTTCTCCTGCTCAGTTCTATTTCCAAAGAGTCCATCTTAGGCTCTCTGGCTTTAACATTCTGTGGATGGTCTCATCTCTGTACAAGTCTAGATCATGCCCTGCAGCTGATTGCATGCAACTTCTTAAACCCCAGGCAGGATCTCCCTCCACAGCCACAAACCCTAAATCCACATTCCTGATTGGATCATTAACCTCCAGAATTGCACATGTCCTCTATTTCTTCTATTCCATTTGCTTTGCCTCATTGTAAACTTGAAAGTCCTTCCTACTTCCTCCACTTAGGCTCTGTGCCCAGTTTGTTCATAGACTGCTTAACCCTGGTGGCTGCCTCCTGTCCCTGTCTTGGTTTATGCTTCATTATGGTGTAGATTACAGCAGACTTCCCTTTCGGGAAAGGTCTGCTGCATATTTATACCAACGCTCTGTAAAGCTTCTTATGGCAGTTCCACAAGTTGGCATCGGTACCTTTCCTCATTTCTCTACTGTGTGTGTGTTCTTGAAGGCCTGAGGAGGACTCTTAACCACTCTTCCAAGTCCAGTTCTTAGCACCACATAAGAGCTAACAACCAAGTATCCCTAACTCCTGGTCCAGGTGAGCCAGCTTCCTCTTCTGCCCTCTGCTGGCATTGGTGCACGCATGCACATACCTGTAAGCAAAATATGCCAACAAAAGTACATCTGAAGTTTTTTGCATTGTAACAAAGCTAGGTATGATAGCTCATAATTCCAGCTCACAAGAGACCAAGGTGAGTTCAAGGCTGGTGTGGGTTTCAGAACAAGACCTTATTGAAAATAAAAGTATTTTGTTACATTGGGTTGTTTTGTTTTTGTTTGTTCTTTTGTTTTTAAACAGGTTCTCTCTCCTTGCTCTGGCTGTCTTAGAACTCACTGTATAGACCACGCTGATCTCAGAGATCTGCATTCTCTACTTCCAGGGAGCTGGGGTTCAAGGCATGGGCCAGAGAGGCTTTCAAATAAAATATTTTTAAATGTGGGTTATTGAGGAGCAACTGAGTTTCTGTTAAAACTCTTCTCACCAACACACAAAAAAGCACTGACAGGAAAGGACTGTTTTTTTGGGGGCTGTGGGAGGCATCCTGGATGAGAATGAGCAGGAGCTGGAAGACACTTTTTGTTTCTACAAAGGAGCCGTTCAGTATTTTAACTCTAAATAAACACTAAAGACTAGCCACACAGAACATCAGATGTAGTTTCAAACATGATCATTCAATGTGAGTCCCCTTAACCTGTAGTGCACCGCCACACATGGAAACTCCAGGAATGCCTGTGCTTGCTGCATACACCGCAGTGTCAGGCCTTGAAGGACATTCATTTTGAGCTTGGAAATGTAAGTGCACACCAGAGATGAGTTTAAGGCCAACATAAGCTACATTGTATGTTCCAGGTCAGCCTAAGATACACAGTGAGACTGTCTAAAATGAGGAAGCGGAGGAGAAGTAAAAGCAAACATCCAACAACAAAAACAAACAGACCTGTAGGCAGGGCTCCTGTCCTCCCAGTATGGCCACGTATATCATGCATGTCTGCCATGTTTCCTCAAACTGTCCTTTTGCAGTAATAACAGAGCCAGCTTCTTCCCTGCTTCCCTTCTTCTACTCATTTCCTTCTCCCTTCTGGACCAAGATGTCCCACCGTATTCTCTCCATTGCATAGCATTGGCTAGTTTTATTGACAATTACAGAGAAGAAATGGTGGCATGTTTACACAAACTTGAGACAGGTGATGCGTAGAATAAACATCACAATGCAATGTCCGGATTAAAACCAGATAGTGGGGTAGAGAAATCAGTATCTGAATGAACAAGGATAAATTGTATATATTTCAAAAGAACATTATGCCAACATAAGATGCTGCATAGGGCTGGGGATTTAGCTTAGTGATAGAGCATTTGCCGAACATTCCATTAGACAGTGAAAAACAATGCTGAATAATACTCCATCATGGTGTACACATGGAGAGCATTACATTATATGTATTACACTTGGTCCTCTCACTTAGGGTCTTGCTTTATAGCCTGGGTGATCTAGAACTTGCTGTATAGAGCAGGGCTGGCCTCACAAAGATTCACTTGCCTCAGCCTCCCAAGCACAGAGATGAAAGGCATATATCTTTTCATATTTAAACCTTTTGGAGAAGGATCCAGAAACAGGGTTGCTGGATGGAGGCAAACAGAGCGAGCTCTGTTTGTTGAACCATGCCATTCTCCATTTTAAGCATTTCACCAGAAGGGGTGAAGGAAGCTTGGGTTTGTACCACAGCTTACTCAGTGCAACCCCAGCAAGTCCGGGAACTTCCACTATTGTTGCTTACTTAACACTGGCCTTCTTGTGCATTTGAAATACCAATTCCATTTAACTAAAGTTAAGACTGTTTCTTTCTTAATTTTTTAAAATATAAATTCATCTTTTTTATTTGCATGTGTGTGTGTGTGTAAGGAAAACACATGCGGGTTCCAGGGAAAACCAGAAGCATGCATCAGATCCCATGAAGCTGAAGCCACGGGGAGTTGTGAGGTGGGACAATGGAAGCAAACTCAGGTGTTCTACAAAAGCAGCAGTGCCTGTAGCAATTAAGCCATCTATCTCTTCAGCTGCTTGTGTGTGTGTGTGTGTGTGTGTGTGTTTTGAGACAGGGTTTCTCTG